TGGGGTTCCGGGGGGGGGGGGGTAGCTGACTTGGAAGCATCAGCCAACAGAACATTAAATGTTTATTCGTTTCATCCCCGCTTATTTCGTTAACTTTGTCCACTAGCTTTCCAGTCTTGTTCGTCTTTCATATCAACTCTATGTGTGTGTTCGCAACGCAAGATATTTGTCCTCTTTGGGACTGATCAGTGAAATTCCTCGTTCTTGCAACAGAAAAATTCCACCACCTGGGCACGTAATGTGCAACGTATACTAAACCCGAAGAAGTCCTCAGGTCGGGAAACGAATGCCCCTGACCCAATATACCCACCGGTCGATATGTTCCAAACTGTTCATCATTGCAATATTACTACTCAGCGTAGAACAGGTCCACCGATACAATAAGGGCACCCTGATGATGGACGGAGATCGGATGAACAATTAACCATTCTGGTGAAGGAATTTATCCCCTTGTTGTCAAATATTCAATCCCAGGGATGCGAGTAAATGGCCCTACGAGTTTCTGTTTTCCGCGCACCAGAGGCTGATCTGGTCACATTTTTAGTTTATTCATTCAGTCGGTGGTTGATTAGTCTCGTAGTACTTTACTGTTGTTTTTCGCCCTGTCCATTGTATTGCGACTGTTCGATATTAGTCTTCCGCCTTGTTTGTCCTATCAAAGACTCACCTACGTCGTGTAATTTATTGGATCGCCATGGATATGCGGAAGGTTAAGGCATATTTGATGTGGTTGGCTGGTTACATGCAGGAGAGAGAATTCCAGCTTCCCGCAGCACCGTGCCCCATGCACTATCAGTTGTGGGGCAAGTACGCGTTGTAGAAAGGACCTGGCTTCTGGTTGCAGGCAACTTTTGTGGTTCTCCTGTCTTTTGCCTATCCTCGGTATCCTGATACACCCCTGAAATGTCTTATTTTTACTGACCCGGGTGAACAGCAGTAGGTTTTCAGTCGGAATTGGTTTGTAAGGTAGCGGTTACGGTTCCGCAACCTTGTTCCACTGATCAGTCTGAAAAGATCGGTTATCATTCTATGTGTCGACCAATGGATCCCGCCGCACAGCGTGTATCCGCCCACAGACGGATGACGAGGCGTATTAAAGTAGTTTTCAGGTAATCTCTCTCTGCGATTAGGGGCACGGTTCCTCGGCTTAGCGAACAGCATTTCGGGTACGGGGTACTTAGATTGGTTGTCGATGAATGCGAAACCTTTTAATCAATCTTACTTTTTTCTATAACATGGTAATACAGAAAAGGTGAGTGAGGTAGTAGAGAGAAGAACAATAAATTTGTACAAGGCGGCATGCGTTTAGGGTTGATAGAGCTGCTTGTTTGTACAACATTTACATTCTCGAAGTATCGTTCGACACATCTGAATTCTTTCGAGCCTTTATGTTGGCGTATTTCCCATATGGGCTCCGCACATGGGGGCGGTGGGCCACAAAAGATATCGGACCTACACCGAAGTAGTTAGTCCTAATCCACTTTTCTGCCGTTCTTACACAGAACACCACGGGAATTGCGTCACTTCCGAGTTCCTCTACCATCCTCAGAGCAAACAAATCAACAGCGGTGTCGTAGTCGCTGTCCCCCACTCCCATCTTCATATCAATACTCCTCGTTGCCTCTTCAAGATCAGCACTTATCCCGTCCGATGAGACGCCGTAAGAACTGGCAGCCTTTGTTCAAATCAGACATTCCAGTCCCCCATCCCCAAAGAGTGTTCTACTGCAATTACCAGTTTTTATAACGTTGTCGTGCAGAAATTGTATAGAACCGAACGGTTTTGAACCAATCCCCCACGTATATGCTTCTCAGAGTTTTTTCATTGTTTCTTTTCTACGCGCAAAGTCTGACTCCAAACTTGTTTTTTTACGCACTTTTGAAACTGAAGTGTTTTCTAGATTGTTTTTCAACATTTGATCCTATTTATTCGGTTACTACAAAAATTGAGAAATTGAAACTTGGAAATTTCCATCTTTCTGTCTTGTTTTTAACCGGGAAAATTTAAGGGGACAGGAACTTCGAATTGGTTCATAGTTTCACCAGATGTGTATAGTTTAGCTGACACGGCAAGCGCAGCCTTTCTAAATAAGAAAGCCCTCCGATGCTTCGTTAGAAAACATCTATCGACACCCCCCTAATGAACTGAACAACCGGGGTTTCTGTCTCATGGAATGATTCCACAGCTTGAGCGTTAGTTCAACAGTCCGGTTTTCTAGTCAGCTGCACGAACGCTCCATCAACTTGATCATTCGATTACGGCTAGCACTTCAGTCCAGTTCTTTAGACGGTCACCTCTCCAGGAATTGTCTCATTCGGGCGAGAAGACTAAATGGGAAACCAACGGGCTAAATTGGAGCTGTTATCGATCATAATCAAAAAGAGGTGCGGATTCTTCATCTGCTCCTACCCTAGCAGGTTATGTGCGTCTCGTTTCGCGCGCGTCTTTGAACCGCGCTGGCTGGCTGGAACGTAGACCGGATTATTTTGCCTCCAGGAGCTCCACTGGACATTCTGTGAAATTTATTACGAGCAAACCCAGCCTAATAACGTCCTCAGGGGACGAGATGGCTCAAGTGGTTAGAGCGCGAACTTACTGACCAGAAGGTCCGTTGTTCGAATCTCGGCTTCCCCTGCCCAGGCTTGGGTAGTCTGGCAGCTCTTTTGCTTCCTTCGGGTTGCATATCAACGGGGCGCCAAGAGGTTTTACAACTCAAAGGTCTTAATAACGTCTACACACAAGCCAATATCTCTACCAGGATATCGACTTTGTCCAAATCCTGTTAATTTACTCATGAAACAGTTTCAAGAAGTCAACGATTCGGTCTAGCGCTTTAGCCAGCTATGAACAAGAACTGAGTTCCATCATCTCGAAACGGAGATGCAACTTCTCTGTTTTTACACACTACACACTAATCATAAGGTTTCTGAAAACGCCTCGACAACCCTTCTTGAGACTCAACACGCAGGCGCACTCCCCGAGTTCTCGTGTTCTACTTGAACCCAAATTGTACTGTTTTCGAGGAATACACTCATTTGCAAATCAATTTGGTCTTCACGCGATACGCAACTGAATCTCTCGTTTATGGTATTCTTCAACTGAATGTGCTACACACAGGCTGCCTCATGTTTCATTTGGCACGATATTCGGGATATCGCAGTATATTTTCATAAAGTAAACTACTCACATGGTTGCTGAAAACTCTTCGACAGCCCACGACCGGTTTCGCCCTTCTTGGGGCTCATCA